TTAAAAAAATAAATAATAATAATAATAAATAAATAAATAAATAATAGAGTCTGAAAATGGAAAATAAGTAGTGTGATATGGAAAAATTGTTTTTCTGAAGACCATCTTATTGATGTTTAGCACCATGGAAGTCTATAAAAAATACTTAGTCACCAAATCTAATACTAAATTGGTCTAATTTTTCATTTCATACACTGTTGATAGAAAAGGTACTTCCCTTTCATTAGATGCCATCTATGTTAAGGAGTTGATTTGACTGATTTGAGGCAGTTTTCTTCATAATGCTCATACCTAATATAAAACCCAAGGAGAGGTTAAATGTTCTGATAATAAACATTCAGCTGCTCTCAATATTTTAAAAGAAGAAAATTATGGCATAGCCAAATGAGTTCCAGAAGGCAATAAATGTGCTGGCTTCATGTCACCAGTAAACACGGACATATATGAAGAGAAAATTAATTTTTTAAAAAGAAGACAGAATGGACAAGGCGAATACCAGAATTACAACCCTGGACCTCAGGAGAGCAGCCTTCAGCATTTTCAGGGATCTGCTTGGAAGAACTTCATGGGAGATGCTCCTGGAGAAAAGAGTCCAGGGGAACTAGTGATTCTCCAGGATCATAAGCTCAAGAACTGTCCATCCTGGCATGCAAGAAGTCAAGGAAAGGTGACAGGAGGTCTGCATGGATGAACAAGGAGCTCCTGGTAAAACTCAAACATCGAAAGGAAACATAAAACAAGTGGAAGCAGTCAGTTGATTCAGTGCAGGGGCTGGGTGGGGAATATAGAGACAGTGTCTGAGCAAGCACGGACAGAGTTAGGAAAAGCCCACCAGGAGCTGAGCCTAGCAAGGGACTTAAAGGGCATCAATGAGGTTTCAAGTGTATCAGCAGCCAAAGGAAGGCCAGGGAAAATATGGGTCTTCTGCTGAATGGGATATGGAAAAGGCTGAGTTACTCAATGCCTCCTTCACTTTTTCTTTACTGGTAAAATCTGCGTACAGTAATCTGAGGCCTCTGCAACCAGAGGGAAAACCTGCAGCTATGAATGTTTCCTGTCAGTGGAGGAATATAAGGTTAGGGGAACATTTAAACAAATTGGACAATAAAAGTCCAAGCGACCTGATGGGATACACCAACAAGTGCTGAGGGAGCTGGCCCATGTCAATGCGAGACCAGTCTTAATTAAGTTTGAAAGGTCATGGTGATTGGGGGAAGTTCCTGAGAACTGGAAGAAAGCAAATGTCACATCTGTCTGCGAGAAGAAGGATCTGGAGAACTACAGGCCAGTCAGCCTCATTTCAATCCCTAAGAAGGTGATGGAGAAGAAAAATCTGGAAGCCACTTGCAAACATCTGAAGGACAAGAAGGTGATTAGGAGCTGTCAGTGTTGATTTACGAAGGGGAAATCATGTTTGACAACCTGATAGCCTTCTTCAGTGAGATAAATGAGTTTCATCTTGGTGGATGAGAGGAGAGCAGTCATTGTTTTTTATCTTGACTTTAGCAAGGTTTTTTGACACTGTCACAATGAAGGAAGATAGATTCAAAACTGACTGAACTTCTAGGCTTGCAGTGTTGTGCATGAAGTCCAGCTGGAGGTTTGTCACTAAATGTGTACCCCAGGGGTCAATACTGGGGCAAATACTGTTTAACATCATTAATGACTTGGATATATAGGACAGAGTACACTCTCAGCAAGTTTGCAGATGGTAGAAAAGTAGAAGGAGTGATTGATACACCAGATGGTTGTACTGCCCTTCAGAGGGACCTCAACAGGCTGAAGATGTGGATTGGCAGGAATTTCATTAAGTGTGACAAAGGGAAATGCAAAGTCCTGTACTACAGGAGGAGTAACACACCGGTACAGGCTGGGGGCCAACCCACTGGAAGGCAATGTTCTAGCAAAGGATCTCAGGCTCCTGAGACAGCAAGCTGAACGTGAGCCCACTGTGTGTGCCCTTGCAGAAATGAAAGCAGACGGCCTCTTGGGCTGCAATAGGAAGACCGTTGCCAGCAGGTCAAGGGAGGTGACTCTTCCTCTCAGCACTGGTGAGACAGAGCTAGAGTGTTGTGTCAAGTACTGGGCTCACTGGGACAGGTGAGACACAGGCATACTGGAGCAAGTCCGGCCAAGGGCCACAACGATGATTAAGGGCTTGGAGCATCTGATATACTTTAGTAAAGTATAGATACTTTAGATATTTTATAGATAATTTAGATACTTTAATGAAGCCTTTGGCACTGTCTCCCACAGCATTCTCCTGGAGAAGCTGGTGGCTTGTGGCTTAGACAGATGTACTCTTTGCTGGGTAAAGAACTGGCTGGATGGCCGAGCCCAGAGAGTTGTGGTGAACGGAGTTAAATCCACTTGGTGGCCGGTTACAAGTGGTGTTCCCCAGGTCTCAGTTTTGGGGCTGGTCTTGTTTAATGTCTTTATCGATGATCTGGATAAGGAGATTGAGTGCTCCCTCTAAGTTTGCAGATGACACCAAGTTGGGTGGGAGTGTTGATCTGCTGGAGGGTAGGAGGGCTCTGCAGAGGCATCTGGACAGGCTGGATCCATGGGCTGAGTTCAACTGAATGAGGTTTCGTAAGGCCAAATGCCAGATCCTGCACTTGTGTCACAACAACCCCATGCACCGCTACAGGCTTGGGGAGGAGTGGCTGGAGAGCTGCCCAGTGGAAAAGGACCTGGGGGTGCTGGTTGACAGCCAGCTGAACATGAGCCCTGGTGTGTGAGCCCAGGTGGCCAAGGCAGCCAACCTGGCCTGTATCGGAGATAGAGTGGCCAGCAGGAGTAGGGAAGTGATTGTGCCCCTGTACTCGGCACTGGTGAGGCCGCACCTCGAATCCTGTGTTCAGTTTTGGGCCGCTCATTACAAGAAAGACCTTGAGGTGCTCGAGCGTGTCCAGAGAAGGGCAACGAAGCTCATGAAGGGTCTGGAGAACAAGTCTTATGAGGAGCAGCTGGGAGAACTGGGGTTGCTCAGTTTGGAGAAGAGGAGGCTGAGGGGAGACCTCATCGCTCTCTACAGCTACCTGAAAGGACGTTGTGGTGAGGTGGGTGTTGGTCTCTTCTCCCAAGTAACCAGCGATAGGATGAGAGGAAATGGCCTCAAGTTGTGCCAGGGGAGGTTTAGATTGGATATTAGGAAAAATTTTTTCACCGAGAGGGTGGTCAGGCATTGGAACAGGCTGCCCAGGGAGGTGGTGGAGTCACCATCTCTGGAAGTGTTCAAAAAATGTGTGGATGCAGCGCTTCAAGACATGGTTTAGGGAACATGGTGGTACTGGATTAATGGTTGGACCTGATGATCTTGAAGGTCCATTCCAACCTTAGTGATTCTGTGATTCTGTGATTGTTGAGAGCTATGTAAATATCTTACTTGGCAGCCCATTAAGCAATGACTGCTATACATTCCTATTGCAGTTGCACAACCTGGTAAAAAAGCAAGGTGAGTTGTTCTGGGTTTTTTGAGCTCTACTGCAATAGGAAATCAATCACACTCTAAGCGAAGTGCAAAGATGTTTGTTCTTATTGTTGTTCTTTGATGGGAAGGCACAGCCATTCCTTTGATGCCATCGGGGAGCTCTACCAGCCTGGTCTCAATGCAGGCCTGGAAACCTTCTCAAGATACGTGCATTTGTTGTCGGGCTTGGTAAGCAGAGGCAAGGTTTTCAAACATAGACACCCCATAAACCTCCCCCCTGCTTCAAACTCACCAGTCTCCTATTTCAGAGACAAATATGAGAAACAACTGTATGTGTCTTTCTGCACATCTAACCCTTCTTCCCCATTTGAACATGCGGTCTTTGTGTTTCAGCTTTATGCTGTATTTTATATATATATGTGTTCGTCTCGTGGACACCTACAGGTCCCAGGGTTGCTGTGCCATTTACCAGAAAAACTATCTTTACCTTAGGAAATCAGTGCTCTGTGTTTTTTTCTCTGTTTACCTCTCATAATGCTTTTAAGTATAAACATGGATTTTAATAATTTCTCTTTCTTAATGTAATTTCAGAGAAAGAATGATCTCTATGCTCTTTCTTCCAATGTGTCCTTCCAAGTTAAGAGCATGCCATATAAAGTGCAACCAGCAAAGCTCCCTGAGGGAAGCATAGCAGTAAGTAACTGAAAATGATATCTTTGTGTGAAGCACATGTATTTGGTCATTCTGATCACAGCTGTGAAAGTTTTTGTAGATGAAAATATTGAGATCAGTCTTTCCTGTGTTTCTAGTGTAAATTCCTGAAATATTACCTAAAAGAAATACCTTTATTGCTTTCTGTGGAAGTTGCTGATATATGATGCTAATTCCATTTTTAAAGAATTTCTTGCTACATTAATGTGCTGACTGCTTTATTGTAGTCAGGATGGATTATTCACCCAGAAAAAAAAAACAAAACTGTGAAAGCAAGTGCCTAATTACCTTGTTTGGGGTAAAAAAATCGGGAGGAAATTTTTGTGCGAGATCCAAAATCTTGTTTCTGTCAGCTTTAGGCATCTCACTCTTCTCCCAGTTAGCAGTTCTCTCACACAAGTTTATGGATTATCTATGGCAACTTCTCTCTTATCTGTATTAAGCTTCTTGGACATCCCAATTTTCAGAAAGGTCTGCACGCCTCTCTAGGGTTTCCACCTCACAGCACATCAGGTACAAGATAGAAAATTACCTGGTAATGCCTACAGATGTGATAGATAGATAGATACTAAAGTACTTGTCTTATTTGTAGAGAAAGATTTGTATGGCCCTGGATTATTATATGAAAAATTAATCTTAGAGTCATAAGTTGGATTTAATTGTTCGCTGATGCCAAAGCACTGAGTTTGGGGAGCAATTTAAAGGAATTTGTTTCTAATGGTGTCTAATACCATGGTTGAAATTCACCCTGTTTTCTCATTACTGATGGAAATTAGCAAAATATGAGTACAAAATTTTATTCTAATATAGGAGTAATCTGAAATTTGAAGGCTTATTGCTCTCATCTTTATAAAGATTTATCATTTACAGTCCTTCTTTTGAAAGGTAAGCTCAGTACAAACTTTTCCCAGTTAAATCCTGGTGCAAATACATCATATCAGTCTGTTGAGATGTAGTAGTAGGGAACAGGGTGTTTTCTTACACGGAAAACCAAAGCTTACATTGAATATGTTTTAGACAATACAAGATATAAGTTTCATTTTGAACAAGCGCAGATTGAATGGTTGATTGACGCTTGCTCTGGGAAGACACAAGGTGGAAGATTGATCCTATATGCTCTGTGACTCCAACGACTAACATCAGGAGAACCATTTCACCAGAGAGATTTGGTGCTTAATGCAGTATTCATCCAGAGAGGTTCAAAGACTCCAAGCTGACAGATATACTCAGTCTCTTTTTATTTTTTGCAGCATGTGTTCCATACCAGAAACACATGTTGTGCAGAACTCTGTTGATAGTGGTGCCTTCATCTGGACTGAAGTGCTTCACCCCAGGTGATAGCCTGCTGTTCTCAACAAGTGTCAGATGATCTACCAAATGATCAGATAAGCATTTTATTCTCTTACTCCAGCCAGTATAATGCTTGTTATTTGCTGCAGATGATTTACAGCAAAATGCCTGTAATGGCAACTGTAAAACGTTGAAAAATGATAGCGCTTTTATGTTGTTTCATATCTGGACATGGCAATGGATGTTTGCCAGCTCTACAGCTTGATGTGTTATATGCACAAGCCCTTTTGATGTTCTACTTGCAAGAAGAAATATTTGCTCGAAGTTGGGCAATGCTTAATATTTTTGCTCCTTCTGAAAAAGATCACTGGTTGTGTTTTAAAAGTTTCCAAAGATTTATTTGGGAGCTTATGGTTTTCTTTCAGACAGTGCAAGAGTGGAAGTGGAGTAAAGATTTTAATATTTTAAAAGTAATTGTCAAAAGCATCTATTTAATAATCAGCTAACACCTTACAGTTTATATAGTGAAGAGAATACATTCTAAAAGAACAGAGCATATGTCCTTCATTTGACTCATACAGCACTGGATTCAAGTTTTGCAGGCTATGTATATTTAATTTCAATGGTATAAATAATCCCATACACATCAGTAACCTACACAATCATGTATGTATGTGTTTACATATTTGCAGCACTGCAGGTCTATATGTTGAATATAGGTCATATAGGTCTATATGTTGAATAGAGGGTCATTATACAAAGATGTGTGAAAGGTTATGTAAATGTAAGAAAATCTAAATTTTTCTAGTAAAACATTAGAGTGAAAATTGCATCAAACAGGAAGTTAGTTTGGAATTTAGTGGAGCTTAAACCAAAATCCACTGAAATCTATAAAAGTATTTGTATTGATTTTGATAGGCTTGGAATTATAACTATATATTGTACAACTTTTTGGGTTTACTTGCTAACAGCTGTATCATTCAAGAGAAAATTGTCATTTTTTCTTATAGGTATTATTATGGTAAATAATACTAACCTACTTGATGAATTTCATGTGCAAGGTGAAATAATACTTTTTAATATAAAAAGTATAGCATTAGAATAAGCATTTTAATTTATGATTCTTGAGCCACTTTTGGAGTTTAATAAAATATGATTGCTTTTCTTAAACGTTTGGTGGGATCTTCAGAGGGGATGCCTTTGGTATAAACTGTTTGACCAGTGTCCTACAGCAAGTAAAACTGATTTCAGATTAAGGCTTTTAACTCTTTTTTAGCTATTACATGGTGATGAGTACTTCCATTTTCAATGTGCTTATATTCCTTATGAAATATATTTGCACAAACACTGGTAATGTGTAAACATAAATGTCAATATTAATTATGACTCTAAGCTCAAGGGAGCTTTTACATTCTATTTTGAGCATTTTTTCAGAACATACAGTAACATCATGCTGCAAAGGTTGGTTGGGAACATGTAGGAGTACTAAAGAGTTCCTGTTTCTCAGTCTCTGTAAGCAAAATGAGTAAAGATTAGAGGAAGATCATCATGGGCAGTAAAAGGGGTAGCACTAGAATAATAATTAATTTAGCTACTCTTTCTTAAAGTAGCAGATTAAACAACAAAGTTAATTTTATTTTTGAAGTGTGTCTTTTAAAGGTCAAGAGGGGAAAAAAAAGCTTTGTGAGAATCTCACTAGCAGGCACTGCATTCTGACCATTGATGCTGGATGTTTGCACCAGTAAAACCTAATCCCCATGTATCCACAAGGGTCTGCCAATGAACCAGCAGCTTACCACACATGCTTCTCTCTGCATTGTGCTGCCTTCCAGAGGAATCAAAGACAATTTTGAAGCTACATTGAGTAGCACCAAAAGTAGGAGCAAAATCCATACGCTGTACAAAAATCAGTGGCAAAAAACCTAATATTTCTTTTCTTTACTTACAATCTGCTTAACTGTGGCACATAAAAAAAAGAGGAAAATAAAATGCCCCCTACAGAATTACTTTCATGAGCAACAAGTGACTTTCATGGAGCCACAACAGTGATTCTGAAGTTAAGACTATCAGACGGCGTCCATGCTAAGACGAGCTTGGATTTTATTTCCAATAGCAGACAAAGGCTCTGTCTGTAACACTTAGGTTGGCTTCACCCTCATCTCAGTGCTTGAGCCAGATGGCATTCCTTTTCATCCCTTTGCATACAAAAGGTGTGAGACGTTCAGCAGTGTGAAAGGCCAGAAGTCAGATGGCTCCTCTCAAGGCTGAGGTGTGCTTTTCACCAGCCTGACAGAGAAGCAACTACTCTTTTCAGTGTTCAGTATAAGAAAGTCCTCTAGCCCTAAATGGAGAGGAAAGACAACATGCATCTGAAGTACAGTGCCAACACACAACACTTGTGTAAAAATTCCACTTCTTCATATTGGCCACCTTAGATGAAAACAGATAAAACCCTCCCAAAACGTTCCCTGGCTCTGATCCTGCAATATTAAACTTACCACATGGAGAAGGACAGAAATCCAAGCTGAATAATGCAAACTTGTCTTAAATCAAAATCATATGTAAAACTGTTGTGGACAGCATGGGGTGGAGGAGGAAGAGTCTTCTGTGGAAATGGTGAAACGAGGCAGGCAAAACTGAAGGGATGCTTTGTTTCTTTCTTCCCCTCCAGCTTCTGCTTCAGCTCTGTGGGTGTTCAGGACTTGCAGTGTCAAACTGTTCACTAGGAATTGCATTAGTAGCCCTGCAAGTCTTTGTGTAGAGTATCAAACGAGGCAGCCCCAGGGCCTTATGTTCTACTGGTAATGCACACAGGCAGGAGTGAGACTTGACAACTACATATAATCCTTTGCTCAGGAAATAAATCTCAAGCACTTAGCACAACCCTTCCCTTGCTTTCAAAAACCTGAGACAAAGAAGAATTCATGGGAAAAGGGTGTGGGTAAGGCAGGATGATTTTAAGATTTTAGCAGGCTAATATATTATTAGCCATTGGCCTCACCCCTGCTACAAGAGGAGAGAGATGTGGAAGCTTTGCAGCAGCATTCTGCTTGATACAGGATAGACTTAATTTCTGCTGTCTTTTTTACTCATTGCTGATAATCTAAGAATTATAAATGTGATGCTCTGCACTTCTATAAGATTACCGTTTCTTGTTTATATTTCAACATTTGTCAGGCTCCAGCTGAGCTACTGAAATTACTTTGCAAATTGCACTTTACTGTCTGTAAAGGCAGAACAATAGGAAAAAGAAAGGAGAGAGCATTACGAACTCCTGCAGTACAAGCCAGGCTGAGCATTGCGACACCACTCATAATTGGTTACGGTGTGTCCTGAGGAAGACCCAGATGTCCTTGTCCCGGTCCATGCTGATAGGTGCTCTATAGGTATCACAAGAAGAGCTAGGTTGCCTTACTGTTTACACAACCTAAGAGGAAAGAAAACACAACAGACAAATGCAGCAAACATCTAGGAAGTGGTGCACAGAAGAAGACATGGAATGGCTACATAGGTACCTGTAGTTGCCTACGCTACTATCAGCTTTATCCAAATCCTAATGAAATCCACCGCCCCAAATGAAATAGACTGTTTCCACTGATTTCAGCAGGATCTCAAACATGCTTTGAGGTCTGGATTGCCCCCAGCCGATTTTGAACGGTGAACTGAAGCACATTAGTTAAGAGTCTAGTTGCTGTGCTCCTGTGCAATCAGTAGGCATCCCTATGAGCAATTCCGACCCTAGACAACACCAGGCAGCAGCTCAGCTCACCCTGTCTGAGAGCACCTGTGTTACTGAAATCATTGCCTTAGATTGGATGACGGTGGGCTTGGTGCCCAAGGAGACAGCCGTGGTTCAGTCAAATACTATCATAGGAAATCTGTAAAACAAAAAATCCTTCCTACAGAAGTACCTTCCCATTCTGATAATTTCCATATTCAGGATGTACAATTTCAGTAGACAGTCCCTCTACCAACTCCTCCATAGCTGGCCAGCAGCTTGCCAGAGTCTTTTTTATTCTGGTTTGCTGATGTTGTACAGTCCGGCACAGAGCCGCAATGCTGACCCCATTCCCTGTTGCATTTATTTCAGTCACGTTATGCCACCTAGGAATTTGGCTCAAGCTATCAATACCAGAAACAGCTAAAACAAATTTTTGCAGGCAAATAGGTCTTCCCTTGGGTTTCATTTTGTCAAACTTGAGAGGACAGAAAGCCCTGCTCCAGTTTGGTTTTTGCTGTTGTTTACAAATATTCCTTAAGATGCTTGTGGTAAGCAGTCTACCACTTTACTGCTCCAACTCCAGAGCAACATGCTTAGACAAGTGATAGTGTTAGAACAGAAACTGTAGTGAAGCTCAAACCTTCCTTAAATAAGGTATTTACACTGCATGTTGATGGTTTCAGTTCCTTTTCAAATAATTTAAAAAATTATAACTTCTTGCTTGTGGTACCACAGGCTTTGCCAGCAGAGGAAGTGCACGGTATGGATGAGCTGGTTTTTTTTAATCAATCTCAGTTTTTGCTGTCTTGAGGCCCACTGAATTTTAGTCAGCACTTCCCAACTCATATGCTATATGGTCTTCAAGGCTTGCCTCAGGTAGCATTCATGAGGATTTTCAAGCAGTAGAAGGAAGATGCTTTCTTTCTTGGACAGCTAAACTCATTGCTTGCTACAGGCTTTGTGCATCATGACTGTATCCCTTCTGATTTCCCTGGCCAAATAAGCCTTTTACTTGCATTCATCTTTTTCCTTAACTGGCTTTTCTCTGGGAGGAATCTCTGCAGACAGTTCAGATGACCTTTTTCTCATTTTCTCTGCCCTTGCATTTTAATGCCAGATACAGTACCACTCTGAGACACAAGGAGAGCCATTCAGAAACATTTTGTCCTTACTAAATGAGCACTGCCCTTGCTGAATCTGGTGGTACAGGGAGCCTACAAAGTTCTGCAGTGGTTAAGAAGCAACCCATAGAGGAGGCTGAGGAAGGGAATGGTATCCCTGCAGTGGCGTAGTTGATCACACCACCAAGATACCTGTTGGGATCCAGGAGTGGGATTTCATGGGTTTTTTTACTAATTCTGTTTGCCTTGAAATAATTTTTTCTTGCTTCAATTGGCTAACATATTTATTCTTTGTATATGCTATGTTTTTGAAGTCTTTCAGGGTTATAACTATTTACAGCTGCACCAGAGAAGTATATTAGCTGAATGTATTTGTTACATCAACGATGGTATGGCCAGCACTGCAGGCACATAATCTTCAGGGTACAGACCAATGTTAAAGTGCTAACCCCAGAAGGACTGGGCAGTGTCTTGGAATTTTCTGTGTAACCCTCAGTGTAAGCTTTGGTAGAAGGCAAGTGGTATCCCACATAGAAAGTTTGTCCCTAATTCCAGTTGTGATCTGTGTCCCATAACAGTGAGGAATACTATATATGCCAGTCGAGTAGGGGACAGTTGGCTGCACAGATGAAGTAAGTGGAAAGGACCATTCCAAAGTGTCTTCCAATTAAGTGTGACAGTATGGCTGGGAGACAGATCTGCTGGTGCTTGCAGAATGCAAATTCTAGGAAAGTACGCTGATCATGAGAAAGAGTGAGAGAGGAACAGGCTAGATGTTGCAGAAAGGCTGAAATTTGCCACCTTCAAGGATAAAAATGAGAGACGCAGAAACTGAATTAATTTTGAACTGAACTACAGAATCATATCCGGTCTTCAAATGTAGGACGCTGTTCCATGAGTGAAAAAATTAGCATTGTGCTAAATTTCAGGTGCATCAGCCAGTGAGTTAATAGTAAAAAAAAAAAATAGAGAATTTGCAATGAGTGCAGATCAGGGACTGGGCAATAGCCAAGAAACTTACTAAGAAGAGTAGATTTCCTCAGTAGATCATTTGAGAATTTGCTTTGTAAACTGATTTCATTTTGTCACGAAGAAAATAACTTCCATCTGTCACATACTTATCCTGTTTAAGGGAGACGAGGAGTAAATGAGAGAGGTCCAATGGAAAACTCCAGAGAGAAATAACTTCCTAGGCTAACAATAAAGAGGAAATTTTGACAAAATAAACTAAAACTGAAGGAACATAATTGTGTCTGAGGAGCTAAGGAAAGCTCAAACTCATTCCTTCCCACTTGGGAGCAGCAGGGAGAGAGCAAATACTCAATGCGATTGATGAGGAGCCTTCCAAGTGGAGTCTGAGAATGTAGAATAAATTTGGTACAAGGTATGGAAGGGAGAGAGTGAGGAGGAGGTTACTTATGTGGATGGCCCCAGAAGAAGAAATACAGAAGGGTTATTATTACTCTTTGTCAAGATGAAGGTGTAAAGAGAGAAGTTTGCCAAGTCAATTAAAACCTTTGATAACTCATGTTATACACACCTGCTGCTTTCGAGAGCCTTAGAGAATGAGAGCAAGCATTTCATGCTTCTTTCCCATTTACATAATAGTCCATATATTTGGCTTCTTTTAAGGAGCATAACATCGTGCTGTGCGCTAGGCTTTATCACAAGGACAATGCACTCTGCTTGAGTTTCATTTTGGACTGCTTAGCTGAAACACAAGTCATAGAAAAAAAGTATACTGGTGCGTCAGCAGAAATTAAAATAAAAGTAATGTAGCTGGTATCTATTGTGGTTTGAATTAAGAGTTTGGGCTGAAGTCAACCATTGTTTCAGAGTAATCCAACGTGTCAGTTATACTGGCCTAGGCTGTACCAACATACATGTGAGTAGAATTTTGCTCCTGCAATCTTCTTGAAGCATCTGCACAAGAAAGGTATTTTTTGCTACTCTCTATTAAATTAAAATGATTTGTATGTCTGATACGACAAGACTTTTGTGTATGTGCAAATCCCATTTCTAGTAATTATCACAAACAAGTGGAAAGGAACGTGCAGTAAATGAAGCCAACATGGGAGAGTTCCAAGCGATCTGTGTTTCTAATCTCCAAAATACTATCAAAGTGAATGCTTATAACCTCTGTATTCTACTGTCAGATTTGCTTTACTTGCTTAAGTTTTGTTCATTTAATGTATGCTTTTCATTTCAGATCAGAACATCTGTCATTTGGTCCACTCCAAATGTCTCCTTTGTAATCCCTTTATGGGTTATAATACTAGCAATACTTCTTGGGCTACTGGTACTAGCTATGTTGACCCTAGCTTTATGGAAGGTATGTTGCCTTATTACTGTTACTGTTGCCTTAAAAAAACCCTGAAAGATACTGGAAGGTACTAACAGATAAGAAAAAGAGAGGCTGGAATTTTGTCATCTTTAGCAGTCTGAAGCAAAAGCAACAATACACGTGTCTTTTTTGTTTTGGCATTTCTGACGTGCTAGTACCACTGACCTTTATGCAAGGAACTTGTTTTCAAAGTCCTCCTTTATTATTAAAGTCTGGTTATAAATGGGCATACAGAGTTTGGCTCTGTTTCCCAAGACCTATGATCCTCTTTTTCAGGATGTTTAGGTTCAAAATGAAGTGACTCTAGCTTTGTTTTCTCTGAATACTTAAGGAATTTCCAGTTTTTGTCAGCATGTAACAACACTCCAAGCTTTGAGAATTAATTTTTAGAGGATTTCCTTTTATATTAGTATGTCATATCTTCTTTTTTTAAAGTTTTCTAGTTCTGTGTTGGTCATTACACTCCCTTCACAAGTTTTAAGACAAGTTACTGGAAACTGCTATATTACAGGGAGCCAACATAGCTTTCAACCATCCTCTCAGTTCCCATTAAAAATAAAATAATTTAAGTTAGGATATGGCTCTTCTGCCTTCAGCTGCCTAAAGATTAGGGGTTAGGTGTCCAGCCTATGCTAGCTTTCCCGATTCACCTAGTCAGTTAACAACAACAGCAAAAAGCTCTGTAACATGGGAAGATGGAGAAAATACCTTTTGATGGTACTCTCCTTTGACCTCGTGTGAAGCCTATGTAACTTCCAACCTTTTGACCAAAAGTGTAACTTTCAGGCAGTTAAAGTTAGGTGAGAGGAATCTCATCTTTGGTAATCTTTAGGCCAGATCACAACACTGTCCTGTGCACATTTCCCAACACATATTCCACCTCTGTTATTACTGCTATCTGTCAATCTAACTATCTTTTCTGAATAAGTATCTGGCTGAACTGAAATTGGTAGTTTTTCTCATTAGAGTCAGTCAGTAACAGCATTCAGACCGACTTTACATCTCCTGCAAAGACAGCTTTTATTTGAATGTTTAAAGTTATACTTCGAAACTTAATGCCTTGCACCTAAATGTTTAATTTTTCATAGGGAACAAATTGAATAGAAACAAAAAAAAGCTTCACAGTGCCATAGATTGTACCCAACTTTTCAGGTTGACTGAGTGAAAAAATCAAACTGAAGATGAGTCTTCCTGTGGTTATCTTACCATGACGCCTTTGTTTCTGTTGATTGTTTTCTGCAGTGTGGCTTCTTTGACAGAGCTAGACCTCCTCAAGATGACATGGCTGACAGGGAACAACTGACAAATAACAAGACTACTGATGCATAGAGGAAGAGAGTGGCAGTTCTAGTAAGAATCCTGCCTGAGACTAGAAACACAATGAAGATTAAATGAAGGATTCCTTCCACCAGTCTTCCTTTGTACCTGCAAGTGACATGGTGTCATAATCTGATCTATGCAACGTTCTGAGAACATGCCACGTGATGGCCATCCTTGCCAAAGAAAGCAGCTTTATCACTGCCTTACAAACATACTCACCACTGAATAGAATGTTTCTCCTTTATTCCAGTCAGTCTACATTTCAGCAGATGCTTCTGAACACGTGTGGTATACTGAGAAGCTTCCAGAACAAGCCCAAATCTCCCAAGGAGAGAACGCCTGCATTGCTGTATTGTCTAGAAGATGGATCAGGACAAAACTTCTGAACGCTACTGTATCATGCAGAATACCTTTGACACCTCCCTAAGAACTTTTATGAAATTATGGCTCAGGGAGACAAGCAATATATCAGTACTGTGAAAGTACTTCTGCAAAACAAAGGTAGTCTATGAAGAACTTTATAGATGGGGCATAATTATTTATTTTTCCACCTTTTCAGGATAAGTGTCTGATATCATCAACTTAGATTTTGAGAGAAGGAAGTAAGAAAATAGAAATCATGTACTTACCTTGCATGTAAATAGAAAAGTAAACCCATTGTACACATGGAACGTATCTTTCCTGGCTATAAGATGTTTTGCAAAGCAGAAGATTTATGCAATATTTTACAAGATGAGGCATATGATAAACAAGTACATGTTGTATCTCTTTCACCCCAGAGCTGGCAGTATCACACCCAGATAACTAAATCCATGCACGGTATAGAGCAGGGAATGAGTTATGCTCTCATTGCATTGCTGATGGCTGACACCTGTACAGCTGATACAGGATGCAGTCATTTGTGAAACACTGATTTAAATCATCACAGCCACACTGGTGATCTTCAGCAGGCTTGGGGGTTTTGGGCTAGGATAAATTTTTTCTTTGCCATTGTCCTGTTACTTTGTTGAAATGGCCTCTTAAAGTGAAATGACTGTTGCCATTGTATCTTCTGTTTAATTTGTGTTGTAGACCCTAACACTTTGTTCACTTAAATCTTTGCCTTTTTTTTTTTATTTTACACTCTACAAGCTGGCAGCATATTTCAAGTGTTGATTTCAGCAAAGTTTAGGGATTAATATAATTATTTCTTAAGCAAAGTCTTGCAGGGAAGGTGGGCAGGATTTGTATTTATGCAGAAAAATAGGATGCCAGCCAGCCAAGCATGAACAAAAAGGAGAAAAGATATTTTGAGGTAAAGAATAAAAATATACATTTAGTTTGGGTTTTTTTCTGAATTAAGGATTCTGAAGAAGAGAGGCTTCATTCTTTATCTTCTGTCAGCAAATGGTCCTGATAGCAGGAGGGGCTCTAAGCTCTGACCTGTGTAAATTTGTGCCTGATAGTTTGAGTCTTAGGTTGCTGTCTGTGAGAGTAAAATTAGCTATATTCTGTAAACTTCAGGAGGGATTTTTCATTTTCTGAAACATACACCACACTTTCCTTCTCCTGAGCTCCTTTTCTTTCCAATCCATCTCAGCTTCTTAATCAGCCAATGGCCTCATCCATTCTGATGCTGCTTGGCTCCTTTTAGGTTAACAACTGCCCTTCTGCTTCCTAAGACTTTAGGGCAGGACTACCCATGAGACATTGTCACTTCTGTCAGTCTGACAGGAGATTTTACAGTTTTACCATTTCTTGCATGCAGGCTGATCTGTGAAATCCAAGCAGGAGCTAGGAAGCCTGAGCAGGTTGTGTTCCACCTTCATATCTAAGGCAAATTTGCGAAAGACCTTCATGGAGTGTTTAGCTTACCAGATGCAACATGCCTATGAGACCTAATGAGAGGAGGGAACACATGCGGAGTGTTTCACCTCCGTTTTCTGAGGATGGGGAGGCCTGACCACTTCGCCGTCCTCCCAAAAACCACGAACAGATGCCTTCCCCCAAATGGGTTTGAGATGACCCCTAGGTTAGAGAGATCAGCTGATAAATATCACTGCAAAGCAAGCCTGTCCCGTACTTGCACACCTCTGTATCCCATACATTCCAGGCAAAATCATCCTCCCATGAAAAAGACGGTGATCTTCTAGCTTTTGTAAATATTGAAATGTTGTGTGTAGCAGCTTGTGAAATAAGGTCAGCTAGCTCATTACAGTCACATCATCTGCACGACCCTTACTCTGATGAAATAGCACCATAAAGAGATACGGAACATAGGACTTTTGTATGTGCAATACTTTATATTACTTATATACCTGAAGCATGTTTACACTGGCATTTGTGGTTGTTTTGTAAACTTTTGAATATACTGATTAATGATTACAATAAAGAAAAAAAAAGAATAGGAAAAAAAAACGAAAACAAACACAGCTTTGTTCAGTATTTGTTGCAATGTGTTTTCAATCCTGCACTGCTCTGAGGATGGGACTAGGTGACCTAATAAGTTCTTTGCAGTTGTAACATCTATGGTTCACTTTTGAGCAATTACTCTCCATTTTAATCATGGGCAAAACATGTTCAGATACTAAATTTAAACCAAAAAGAACCTCAGTGACTGCTGAGCCTGGCTGGAATCCATTGGCTGCAGCTGTGTAATGTCACTGGAAACCAAATTAGAGGCACATGATCTGACAAACAGTTACTTTGAGCAAAACTTTGTTTTATATTTCTACATCTTTGTAGATTAAACTTCCCCCATGGAAATGTTTGGAGCCGTGTGCTGTCAAGGGCTGCAGTCTTGGGTCCCAGCGTTTGTGGACAGCTTTGGCTGCAAATTGCAAACAGCTTTGCAAAAAAGATTTCTGGATTTCAGTGCTTGCCAAGAGTGTTTATCCCCTGGGGAGACTGCATCCTGGATGTGGACACTAGCAGGCAGTTGACATAATCTTTCCCCCAGTATATTAGTAATGTGCTGCACGATAACCTCTGCCACATCCCTACATGACTGAACTTTCAGTGATGTCAGCCTTGTAATGAGTTACTTAAATGCAGTTTTCTGTAAAAGCAATTCAGCCTTGCTCTTCCAAATGTATGCGGTGAGCTGCTAATTGCTGAGAACACAGGATTAGTTCAGAGAACGGAAAAAACAGGAGGTTACTTTATAGATTAAAGACACTTAAAACTGTTTATTGCTATGACCACCACAGCGGTGTCATAAACGGAAACATTCATCTTTTATTTCAGGTGCTTCTTGCTGAGTTTGAGAAAGGCTGTCCAGTTATTTCATCCATGCAGCATTAAGAGTATCAAGTGTCAAGCAGTATTTTCAGTTTTGTGAAAATCTCAGAATTTACATAACGGGGACAAGTACATTTGAGTATGTTGTCACTTATGGATTTAACCTTAAAAACTATTTATCAACTACAATTTTCATTTAACCACCAGGTTGTTAACAAGAATTATTTCTTGTCACCGTTCTGTAACTCATTTACAATTTTTTCTGTCTTCTTCAACTTTTTTGCCCTGACAGCTTTTACAGGTTTCCCACATTAGACATCTGTTGAAAATGCCACTGATTTTCTCTGCCTTTTAGCTGTGATTATCTCATCCATTAGCAAGAAGGATCTTCTGGTAGGCATGGCATACATTAACTAAAAAACCTTTTGAGAACCAACAAAACACTTAAGAGATACGCAGGGGAAAGAAAGTCCTAACTGGCCATGGCCTATGGTATTCCCCTACATTGTAGCAAAAATTTTTTTAATGAAATACCATCTGACACACTGCCTTTAAGAACTGTTTATGAGTGAGTTTTATTTATGATTGTTGGCAAAGATCCATATTAAAATGTAGTGTAATGGTAGTGCCTCTTGACAATAAAAAGTCTTGAATTTAGCTTACGCAGGCACTATGATGTGACACAGCAGGAATGCTTTTAATATTGGAGCACTGTTCTTGCTTTGCCTCTATGTTGTGTTTGAGGGGCACTTAACTATTCAAGATGCTACCCTACTCTACACAGCGATTTTCAAAAAAGAAGAATGTAAGTAATTGTTCAACTCACTTTTCAGATGGTTTCATTTGTTTTCATCATGTTGCTCTACTTAACTGATGCACCACATTTCATTTGGTGGTGTTTTGCTCTTTCTTTCAGTAACAGTTTGTAAAGCGGCCTTCAGCAACTCTTTCCAAAACTGGACTGCATCAGGCGGGATTGCTTTTCCAGAAGGAAGCTCGGGATAACAGCAGCAGAGCGGAATTGAGGATGCTATGTGAAATGGTCAGTGCATTGCAGGGGCTAGCTTACTTTTCAGCAGTTTACCCAAATTCATATTCATATTAACAGAACACCAACCTTGGATTCCCCATTTCTCCTGTCCAGGAGGGCCAGGGTGTGCCCTCTTTTATCATCACTGTAAAGACCAAACACCAAATAATCCTTGCAGCAAAGCTGGGGACGGGAGGGCACATTTTATACCTGCGCAAGACAAATAAAAGGCAACCAAATCAAGTTTACGGCAAAACACAAACAACATGTGTCTTATGATGCTCTCCTGGTCATTGAAGGTTAACATTTTCCCAGCAAAAGCAGTCTGCCCGCTTATCGCATTAGACCAGCAACACCAGAAAATAACCTCTGAAGTTGCAAAAAGTTTCCATGAATCCCATATCCTTTCTAAAAGTTTTACATTTTGAGGTATATATGATAGCTCTTGGCTCTTCAAATAGCCTTACTGATTTTTTTTGGTTGGTTTTTAATATTTTAATGGCATTGAGGAAAAGTTAGGCCAGCATAGTAAAAGCTGAAAAAGAAAATATGTTTAACAGTGAAATCTCACAGGAGACCCAGGCCTATATCTGGACTTACCTTTTCCATTTTTAGGCTCTTTTGCCTAAAGGCAAAGAGGCACCAGGAGATATCTCGGGTGTCTGCTGAGACTTCCAAGGGTGTTACGGCTTTGTTATAACAAACACTCCCATGCCAACTAATGTGAAAACCAGAAGATTTTCTTTTTAAAGATCTAACAGTCCATCATCCCCTCCTATATGCCCTGTATATCTGAACAGGCAGAATATGGGTAAATGGCACCGTTAAACTAGGTGGTGGACATTCACAGTACACCAGAAAGAGCCTTTCCTGTGGAGAAGGACAAAGACTGAATTTTCACAGTGCCTAAAATTAGGAAAGATTTGTTTTTCTAGAGGAGAACATGACACCACGGAAGCCCTGCCCTTCAATAATGGGTTCAATAATGGGTTCAAGCATAAACACACGGTGGCTGGGCACAAGGGACTTAATATTAAGCAGTTAAGGAGGGTGCAGGATACTACATTAACTATAAATGACTTAAGAGGGAAGGACTAGAAGGCTCTAGAGGAGAAATCAAACATTTAAACACGCAGGTGTTACCACAGAGTAGATCAGAAACAACAAGAAGGTTGATTAGTAAAATGGATGGATTGGAAGTAAGGCTCAGCTACAGCAGATGAGAAGTTGTGACCCCAGAAGATAACGAGACTAATGATCTACTACAGTGATTTTTTTTTTTTTTCACAATGACCAACTGATCCATTGCTCATGCAAAGTTTGAGGAAGACCATTTCCCTAGTAATTAGATAACGAAAGGAAAAAATATCTCTGCAGCTGTGGCAGGACTATTGAGTTATCTGTGAATCCCTCTCATTCTTAAATGAAGGGCTGTATTCACTTCATTGACTTTGAGAGAAGGAAGGAGGTGGCAAAGACATGAGACTTGAATTTGTTCCAGCATCAGCTAAAAGCTTCTGGCTTCACTGCTGTTTCAAAAGCGACTGTTTCAGCTGAGGCTGTACAACATCTTTCATTGGACTAGTACAGACTGTGTTATCCAAAGGTAGTAGAAAGA